TGAACAGAAAAATGAGAAAATGAAAAAAAAATGGTCGTTATGTTTAGTAGGCTAAAAAATTTTTTATTCTAAAAGATAATTTCTAACCTAGATTTGTTGGTAACATTTCACCGTTAAGGCATCATTTTATTTTGTTGTTCTAAATCAACAAAAAAAAAAGTTACCACTTCTATTTATTGCAACTGTTGAACTTCAAGGTTGAACTTAAAGCGATAAAAAAAAAAGAATTCTTCAAAAAATCAAGGTAAAAAAGGTCTGACTTTCAAAGTTTAAAATAAGGCGAGAAATAAGCAGAAGAAGTATATGACCATTATTTTTCATCAAGAACAGGAATTTTTACTTGCCCAATGTTCCTAACGCTTATGCAGTGTAATGTAAATGGTCTTCCACCTAATATATACATTTTTTTTGCTGCAGTTCTTCGCAATAGTAATATTAAAGGTACGTAGAATTACTAAGAGATTGTTTTGGTTTTGATGGCATCAAATAAAGAAAGCGAACCATGATTATGCAGTAGCGTTAGCGTAGCTCATAACAGGAGAAGCTGAGAGGAATAGGGTTGATGGGCGAGAAATTGCACAGGAAAAAAGTCTTAATTGGAAACAGTGTGTAAGCGATGTGAAGAAAGGCAGAAACAAAATAAAACAAACTGTTTTTCAAGTGTTACTTTTTTGAAAATTTAATTGCAGAAAACCGAATTTTAAATCGAAATCAGCTATATTGACATATGACTTACTGAAAGGTAAAACAATCTTCTACTGAAATAAATTGTAATAAGCATAAGAGGAGAGAGGAAAAAAAATAGAATGGGACAAGATTAGAAGGGAAATACAATTTTTTTTCTTAATTGCTGCAGTATTCATTGACATCACCATCATCGTCACTGTCACCATCAATTAGTGTTGTCTTTCAAAAGGCAGCGAACTAAAAATGAACTTGGAATCTTTATAATCTTCTGATTTCTTCATGTTATTACCACTAATTAAAATGCGCCTGACTTTCATCTTATTGTAAAACAAACAGAGAAAAGTCGACCAGCATTGTATTCGGCTGAATATTACTGTATAGGAAATGACTGACAGTTGTAAAATGAAATAAACGCAACGAAAGACGTAAAATTAGACGACTGCTTGATTATCGTAGTGTAGAAGTTTTCCTGTAAGCCATATTCACTGCTTACAGCTAATAATGTCCAGTAAAAGCGTCAATTTTTGAAGAGTCAAGTGAATAATTTTTTCTACTTAATTATAAACTTATTGTCTTTCGTCGATATGAGCCTGTCGTAGCTTTTGGGATCTCCTGTTAGGTTTCATGCCACTATTGTTTCCCATTCCGAAGGGTTACTGCCAACACCGAAACAATCATTAAAGACTACAGTGAGGATCCTAAATCTGCTAAGCCGTTTCTTAATTTGACCTTGCATCTGCAGTTGCAACATCTATCAAATGCACTATGGAGAGCAGAAAGAGTGAGGATATTTTTATAATTTTTTCCACTGCAAAGCAAAAACTCACAAACATTTTGATGAATCGTACAGTGTCATGCATACCAAAAATGTTCAGCCAGTGCACAACGCTGGTTCTAAAAGTTACTCTATTGCATCTTGCACAGTGTAGTCAGTTTTTTTCTGTCTGGTTCGGTTCTGTGCTTTTTGCTGTAATTTACGTCTGCATTTGAAGGTATTATAGGATTCAACGAAAATTTGCGTTAAAAATTGCTTTATTGTTTCTTTGGTACTATTTGTCTAGCAGTTCGTCTTCAAAATAGTTGTTTTGGTTACGGATTTTCAATACTGCCTAACTTAGCAAAGATTTATTCTTGATATTTATCGCTTTTCAGCTGGTATACTTACCGGATGCCTGATCAGCGATCGTTTAGGTACACAAGCAATCGCTGGCTTTGGGTAATTTATGAGTTTTTTTAAACTTCTTTTTATCATCTTTTTATTGCAGAAGTGAACCTAAATTTTTTTCGTGATTCTTCAAATATTAGATATTAAATATTGTTTTCTAAAAATGGTAATCTTTTTTAGACAATTAATAAGTGGTTTTCAAACTATGAGTCCTCTTCCAAAAATTCCATTTTTGCATTCGACGGAATGTATGTTTTGATTTTTTCAGGTGATACTTGTAAACTTTTATCTCGTATTCTGATGCAAAGTTTTTTTGAGCAAAAGTAAGTAAGAAAGCAAAGCTACTTTTTTTTTTT